CGGTGCAATATTGAAAATAGCTTGAATTCTTCATAACCTCTGAATAGTGGGTGACCCAACGGGTCACGAGTGGTCTAGTAAATAATAAAACTTCATTAGCTGTGCAAATTACAGTTCTATATGTTTATTTATTTTTATTTTTTTTTTGCAAAGGGAACCAATTTAAATCTACAGTCACCAACAAGTCATAAAAAATATTTCAAGATAAAAAAAATCTAACCAATGTATAATGTGGAATTATGAAACTGACAGTTCTCAGTATTGACAGAGGTAACTTGGGGAGAAATGCCTAATGAGAGAGGCACGTCATTATGTCCACTAGTGAAGACAGAGAAATTGGAAAATCTGGATTTCCTTTCTTGCTACGAAGTTTAAGACGTTCTAATGGGTCTGAATATAATCTTAAGAAAAGTTAGCTCTTGGAAAGAATAGCCATGGTGTCTTTTTTGGGAAATTTGTCTAGAATCCATCTTGTTATGCTATTTACAGATAAGTTATCCATTAGCAGGGAAAGTCAGTTTCACGTTCATTGTTTCTATTTTTTCTTTTTTGTGTGTGATGATGAAATAAGCGTGCTACTTTCGTTTAAAAGTGAAATAATTGTAACTAATATTTCTTTATTTTGGTAGAGTTTGACTTATTTATGTTACAAATAAATTCTTAGAACTTCTCACTATTACAGTTTTTTTATTAAGTGTTAGATATACAATAGCGTTTCATTTAAATTTAAAACGAGAGTTATAATTTAGATAGTTATAAAGCACGGGTGTTAAATTTGGTATTTTTAGAAGCGATAATTTATCGTAGGTTTGTTTGTATAACTGTATACAAATCATATGTTGTGTAGTTCAATAGTTGATGATTGTTATATTGTTGTATTATGTTACTAAAACCCTCTAAGTTTTTCTGGTTGTTTCATTGAGTATTGTTACATCATAACGTCTCGTAGTTGGTAGAAAGTTCTAGACCTTAGTCAGACAAAAGATATATATATATACGCGACCAAGTTAGTAAAAGTAAGTTAAATTGGTGAAAGCGAAAGTAAAAATGAAGTTCGACTGTATGAGTTTAACAGTAACGGCCAGTCCCTAGAGTGAATTTTACAGCTTGCACTATAATAACAGAGATAGAGACGAAGAAGAATATGTCTTATCAAAGGGTGTTCTAAAGTAATTGCACCCGCCTATGTAGACTTTGATGAAAAGGAGACATTTATTTAAAATTTTGGATACAAGTGTGGTATCTAGCAGGTATAGTGGTAATTTTTGTGTTGTAATAACAGAGTAGAGGAGAATAATTTGTCTTGATAAAGGATGTTCTAAAGTAATTGAAACCGCCTGTGTGGACCTTGACGAAAAAGAGACAATTATTTAAAACTCTGGATACAACTGTGATAACCAATAGTACAACAAATTTTTGTACATACATTTGAATTGTTTTGAATATATTATTTTAAACTAAGTGAATTGTGTGCTGTCCATTTATTGTTGAAATTTATAGCCAACAAGTCACAGACACCTACTGTAAATAATAAGCTCCTATAAAAACTTGACAATAACTAATTACTTGGCCTATTTGGATATCATAGATTAAATTAAAACTTTGGTGTCATGACCAAAAATGTTTTTGTGGAGTTGACAAAGATGGAATTCTATTTTTTCTATTTGCACTATCTATGTTCCAAACTAAGACTTTTTGTCAAAGATATAAAATATTATGTACACATTCTCAATATATTCTCATGATTAGAGGGTTAAGGTGCAGCCAGGCTACTGGTTTGGCTTGTTTTTCCAGGGCTACCTCCAGCTTGTAGGAGTAGATGACCTCCAGTTCTGGTGATCATAGTAAAGAGCCATCGGGGTGCCCTAAAACTAAGTAGAGGTAGTCTCTATAAGAATCCAAATTCATCACCAACCAGCATAGCTAAATCTCTTAACTGATTAGAGTTGTCAGTGATCAGATGATGGCTTAAGATGCTTTTGGAGGATGAAGTGTATTAAGAGGAATTACCTTTTCGTTGGATAAGCAAGCATCACACTAAAAGATTGGTGACCAATGATGTGATTAAAAACATTACACAACTTCACTTATGCTGGTCCAATTAAAAATATGATAACCAGTCCATGTATTGATTCGAATAACTGGTTTATTAGCCATTTGTACAAAATATTTATTTTCCTAAACTATACCAAAAAAGGACCTTACACATTTCTTAGGCTACACAATCAAGTTGTTTTTCTCAAACAGTACTCTTGATTGACTCACTGAAGAGACTATAATACTCTGAAAGGCTTCACTTACCGTGGTATATATCTAATTCTTAATCAAAACTGGTTTCAAAATCCAAAATTGAAGATCTGCTTTCATAAGACTTCACCAGATGACATTGATGCACGCAGTTTCAATCAGGCCGTTTTTACTAAATGATACTAATGCATACAGTTTACAAGAGATATTTTTCCAAGTTACACTAATGCTTACAGTTTATATCATATATTTTTTAACTAAACGATTGTTTGTTTGTTTGAATTTCGCGCAAAGCTACACGAGGGCTATCTGCGCTAGCCGTCCCCAATTTAGCAGTGTAAGACTAGAAGGAAGGCAGCTAGTCATCACCACCCACCGCCAACTCTTGGGCTACTCTTTTACCAACGAATAGTGTGATTGACCGACACATTATAACCCCCCCCCACGGCTGAAAGGGCGAACATGTTTGGTGTGACGGGTATTTGAACCCGCAACCCTCAGATTGCGAGGGAAGCACCCTAACAACCTGGCAACTAAACGATACTGAATACATACAGTGCTCTTGCACCAAAATCACTTACAAGACAAATAATTATAATACAAATTTTTTGAACAAACGATAATATAATTGTTTCTTTTGTTTGTTTTATAGTAAAGCTATATAAAGCTATCTGCTGTGTCTACCATGGAGCATCGAGGCCTGGATTTTAGCACTGAAGGTCATAAACTTATCGCTGACCCACTAAGGAGCAATAATTTAATTCAGATACATGTAAAAACGAAAGATTATTTTGATTGCTCCCTGCCTAAGTTTCAAATGACCTGGTTAAATTAGAAAGACATAAATGAAAAAAAAACACAATATATGTTATTAACATATTCATTCATTCATTCACTCCTAACCCAACTGATGAGATTCTCTTTGCTTTTGAGTAGAGTTTCTTTGAAGCTATTGCACTTTATCTCTGGGTAAGCCTGAAGTGTCTGCAGGTGTTGTTGATCAATGGACACTGTCTTCATCAGGCTCATCTAGAATGCTAACTCGTTCACCCCTTCCATAGCCTCCAGTGTTTACCTATACTACCTACATAGCTAATTCACATGGACCGTCATCAAACTCTTTTGGTATCTACCGTTTATCCAGTATGTGACATCTAGAAGCTGCTGTATGATTTCATAAGGACCTTGCAAGTCACTCTGCAGCCTTAGAGACTTCCCTCTCATCCTACGATTGTTATGAAACCATACAATGTCTTGACATCATAGTACT